GCTCTGCATGCCCGGCAAACGGCTCAGCCTCGAGGGCTCCGAGCTCCTCGCCCTACGCTGCTCCCACAGCCGCTCCTGCAGGAGGCACTCGGCAGCGGCTCTCGTCACAACCCGACCTCAGAGCACGCGCTCAGCCGAACGAAGCACGGGAGCCCTCTCGCTTTTTTTCCCCCTTGCTGGACTTCTCCTCGTATAATCGGAGATGTTGCCACAGTTCAATAATTCGCAGCAGAAAAAAGGAAGTCCCGGGACTTCTGGAAGGCAGAAGAGAACGGGCCAGTGGCTTTCTGCCCATTCCCTTCCCAGCGTGACTGCGCTGGGTCGTGCGCAGGTCTGCTCGCTCGCTGGGCACAGCGGCAGGCAGCTGGGCTCCATTCATCCACACGCCTCTGCCACCGGAGCCGCCCCGCTCTCTCCACGTCCGTTATGCTCATTCCAGAGTTCTCCAGCAACATTTCCACCCTGCCCATACGAAATCTCAGCCAACGCCGTAGGCTGCAGGCGCCCTTCGTTTCTCCTCAGCGAGCAGCAGACATTCACAAACTGAGAAGCGGAGCCTCCCTCCACGCACACAGACGGAAGCCACGGCCCTGAGCAGCTCAGGGCCCCATCGCTCACCGTCCTTCTGCCCCCACCTGCTCCAGAGATGGGAGAGGAGGGCAAGGTGGGGCAGCAGCGGGGACGAGGGTGGGGAAGGGCTGCGGGGAAGGACGGCGCAGACGGAGCCGTTTTGCTGCAGGGGTTAAACGCTGCGTCTCTCATTTCCTTCATCAGCCCTTCCTGCAGCAGCGCCTCGAGTCAGGCTGAAGGCGAGCAGATATGATCTCATTCAGGATGGAGATTATTATATTTTGGTAGCAGATATTTAAAAAAAAAGGAAAAAAAGGAAAGCCGGCGAAGCTTGCATAACTCCACTCGTTTTTACCTTCGCACTTCATCCCAGCCCCAGCCTTCAGCACTGGGACGGTTCCAAGCTCCGCCAACTGTATTTCTTGCACGTCACGTCCAAAAACAACACCCAGGCTCACTTCTGAGAAGTCTTAATAGTAAAAACAACCATAGTTCAGGATCTGGGGACTCTGCTATAAACTAAAGCACCTTGAAAGCTAGGCTGCCTTTCAGTCCTCATTTCCCAAAAGGACATAATCCGAATTGCCCAATAGTCCCAAGTCTACTCCCACATACAATCTCTTGGAAGCCCTGGTGCACGCTTTCTGTCCACCAGGCTCATTGCACAGCTGCGTTTACTGCTCACTTTGAGTTACCTACCGCCCAGCAAAGCGTGGCAGCTCAGGGTTGCCCACAGCCACCGCCACTGCCACGGAGGATGAGCAGATCCTGCTGCCCCACCGGCCCTGCTTCAGCACAGTGCCACCCGAGGCTCTCTGAGCACAGAAACTGAGGCGCTGCCTGCAGCTGCCATGCACAGACCCCCAAGCAGGGTCTGGGGAGGAGGAAGCTCGGGGGGGGGACAACATCGCTCTCCACAGCTGCCTGGAAGGAAGCTGCAGCCAGATCGGGGCTGGCATCATCCCCAAATTAACAACAATAGGACAACAGGTAATTAATTGCCTTCAGCTGTGTCAGGAGAGGGCCAGGATGGCTATTAGGAACAACTCCTTCTCCAAAGAGCGGTGCTGCGGCAGCGCAGCTGCTCAGGGACTGGTGGAGTCGCCATCCCTGGAGGTGTTCCAGAGCCGCGGGGATGCGGCACGCGGGGACACAGGGGGCACAGTGGGGTGGGCTGGGGATCTCAGGGGTCTTTTCCAACCTTCACCATCCTGCAGTTGTGACCTACGCTGCAGCGTAAACCAGCAGCACAGAGGAGGGCAAGAAACCTGGCTGAAGTGGCACAAATAAAGGACTGCCAGCAGCCCCGAACCGGCACAGCCAGAAAAGAACTCATCTTTGGGGGAACAGAGAGCAGAAGAGAATGAAGACAACGTGTAAAACCCTGACTTCGCAGAACACTATGAGGTTTCTGTCATTCACTTCACCGAAGTCAGTGCTTCAGAAGTGCCTCGACAACAACTTTGGTGCACGTTCCTCAGCTGACTTCTCTCCAACGGAATTAAACAGCTCCCACGATGAGCTTTCCTCCATTCCCACTGCCATCAGCGCTGCACTTGCCACGATCCTCTGTAGGAGCAGCACTGGGCCCCAATTCGGGAATAAAAGCCATCCTGAGGGAACGGCAGCTGCACATCAACCTCTCCTCTCCCCAGTAGAGGCAGCGCACAGAAAGGAAACCTCAGAGCATCACTGCTGTTCGCACAAAGAGGGGTTGTTGGCTTTTTCCTACCAGAAGATTAATAGGTAGCAAGTTCAATATCGTTAAGTATTTAGTTTTCCTTAATTGTTCCAGGAATTCATCTACAGAGAGCAATGCATCACATCTGGAGGTAGCAATTTACCTTTCAGGAATCAACAAAATCTGCACACTCCTCCTGGGTCTGGGGAGGAGCGTGTGGAGCTGCGGCTGCTCTGAGCTCGGGGTGCTCTCAGCAATCCGCGGTACCACCAGCACCATTTTCCTTGGAAACCACCACGTTTTTCTCACTGTCTTCTGCCCAGGGAAGCCCATCTCTCAGCACATCCCAGAAATCCCGCAGCAGAACTGCAGGTTTGGGTTTCCTTCCACGCCGGGAGGTTCCTACTTGTTAATAACGCAGTCGGTTCTGGTCGTGGCGCAGCCTGAAGAGCAGACAATAGGCGGCCCTCAGCACTCCACGTTATTCCTTCTGTACCTTCCAGAAGTTCAAGAGGTTCTTATTTTAGCAGCATTCTTCTCCTTCTTGTCTGGGCACTGGTCATACACTTCATCCCCTCTTCCATTACACTTCAAGAGCGTGGATGCACACGGCAGAAAGAAAGGCCTTCCACGGTCTGCAGGTTTTGTTATTTGTAGTATTTTGAAATACATACCTAAAATGCCTCAAATTTTCACTCGCTAAACCACAGAAGGAAAGAGCAGAAAGTACACTGGGCGATGGCGTTTCTCCATCAGCTCTTCACCACCTGCACACATGTGGTGGGGTACAGTCTCACCAGCACCGAGTTCTGCCCCATCCACAGCCCAAAGCCCTTCGCTGCCCAACCTGTGCCCAGCAGTCTGGGCTCCCACCACCTCTGTGCCTCTCCCAGCACTGCAGGCAACGCCATACGAGGTCACATCAGAGCCCAGGAACTGCGTGCCCTCCACTCCCGCGTATCCAAGAGCATCCGCTGGATTCGGTTCGATCGTAGAATCGTGGAATGGATCTCGGGGCTGGAAGATCCTTCCACACCTGCTCTGTTGGAACAAGCTCACCCTCACTGCACGCAGAGGGAAAGGCATGAGCAGAAGGCAAGGATGCTGGGATCGGCCAGCACTGCCAAACCACGTCCTCAGCCCACAGCAGCCCCGCTGCCCTCTGCTCCTATCGGTCACCGCTCACCGCCAAACTCAAGGAAATACACAACTCCTGGAGGCTGGCAGCCCTGCCTAGGGCAGGGGGTGGAACTCAATGATCCTGAGGTCCCTTCCAGCCCCAAGATCCATTCCATGATTCTACGATCAAACCGAACCCAGCAGGTACTCACGGATACGGGAGCACAGGAGCAGCCCGCAATGCAAGCCACACTAAGGCTCCCCGTACAGCATGGAAACTGAAGAGCACAGAGCAGCTCCCAGTGCAGGAGCCCAGCTGAGAACTGACGCCGCTGCTCCGAGCCGGGACAAGGCAGCGCCCCCAGGCCCCTCCTGCAGCCCCTGCTCTGCCACAGGAGGACACGCGGCGCACTGCCTTCCTTCCACACCGAGCAGGACTTCACGGCATCACAGAACGGCCCGGGTTGGAAGGGACCTCAAGGATCATGCGTCTCCAACCCCCTGCTGCAGGCAGGGCCACCAACCTCCACGTCTCACACCAGACCGGGCTGCCCAGGGCCCCATCCAACCTGGCCTCGAACACGGCCAGCTTCACCACCACGCAGCTCCACACACCTGTAAGCCCGTCGCTTTGCTGCCTGCCTGCCCATCCGGCCCCATTCAGGATGAGGAAATCCGCACAGGCTCCAACCCATCCATTCCTCTGTGCTGCACGAGGGCTGCTTCCAAAATACGCCAACAGACCTCAGCCCCACATTTCCGACGCACACGGGATGAAGGGATCAAGCACTTCCCTTTCCTACGGGGAAATAATACGCATTTTGGCTGCCTTCGTGGCTCGTTATTTTTGTCCTGGCAGATTCAAACAGCATAAAGCTTTGAATATTAAGAAGGCTATTAAATTCTTCCAATACTTTTCCAAAGTAAGAGGCTGCCGCACTTAGAGAAAGGAAGCCCAGCATCCTCCACGAGCAAAATGAATGTGAACGCACGATTAATGCTGCAACTGAAATTAAAAAGAAAGCGCCTTGTAAAGAAACCAATTGTCTCGAAACAAAGGACGGACTTTTGGCTATCAATAGTATTTTTAGACTCAGACTTTCTCTGGAGACCTAAAAGCATGCAAATGCAGAGCGCACAGCGGCGCGCGCACACGCACTGCACCTTTGTGTTGCACTGGCACTTTATTATTTAATTAAACTACTCTTATTTCTCTAGCTCACGCACGCTTCCCTTGAGACGGCTTTGCTGTTAGCCTGCTGGCCTTGACTTCCAGCCAAAAACAATTCAGAAACAAAAAGGGACAACAAATCATATTTCCACAGACATTTTTATCCCTTCAGTACAACCTTGTTTTCACACAACATCGTACAGATCCTGCGAAAACTATGATTTACGGTGCTAGCCACCCAGAGCCGGGGGCTGACACGAGCTCTCCACGCGCTGCCACTTGTGTCACTGCTGAGCTTGGACTGCACGGAAGGGACCCCCGGGGCTCCATCACAACAGGGCCACAACCAGCGGCCCCGGCGGCCGCCCTGCAGCACAGCAGAGGCTGCCCACACCTCCGGCCGGGCAGCCCCCCGCGAGGGGCACAGCACGAAGCTGCAGACCCTTCTTCTCACAGCGCTCATCGCCACGCCTCGCCGAGCAGGATCCCGCTTACCTGGTGGCAACCCTGCAAACTCGAGTCTCTTCCGTACGATGAGTATGATCCCCTTTCTGTTTTACCTGTTGGGAGAGAAGAAGGAGACGTATGACCAACGCGATCGCATGTGCACGTACAGCTTCTCCAAGTGCTTTACAGGATGTTCCCCACGTTTCCCAGCGCTGCTTACATGCACGAAACAGGCGCTGCTGGCCATGCAACGCACGCAGGCAGCAGCAGAGCATGAACGCCTTTTCCTGCCGAGGATGGCGACGTGCAATGAACTTGCCCAACCCGGCTGCACCGCCCCAGGATGGGATGTAGAAGGACTCAGCCAGCCCAGCACAGCTCTCCGGGCAGCGCCCATCCCCAGGGCTGTGCTGCGCCTCGTGCTGCGGCCGTTCCCTGGGCACTGCAGTGACACCGGGACGGGGACGGCTCCGGGAGGGCCCACCGCTGCTGCTGCGCGCTGCTGGCCCCACAGACCAGAGCTCATGCTGGGTTTTGCTCTGGGCTGCCCTCAGCACGCAGCTCCGGCAGCCTGCCTCGCAGCACTGGTTACGGCCACGCTGTATTTACAAAGGAAAATAAAGGTTCTTTCAGGTTTGAATGGGCAGACTCGAGCAAAACCAAGGAGGAAAGAGGTGGTTTCTGCAGAGCATTAAGTCATGGCTGAGTAGCACTACACCACGTGCTAGGGAGACAAAGAGCAGTCAAGAGGGCTGATACAAAACATATTGACACCAACAGACCACCCTTACGGCGCGGGCAGCCACGGGGGGAGGCAGAACGGCCAGCAGCACCGCGAGCACCGAGGCCGCAGCAGAGCGCGGAGCTGCGGCAGGGCAGGGCTGCCCGCTCCGTCCCCGTGCCCCAGCAGCACTGCCGGCCCCGCGCAGCGGGGGAACCGAGCACGTCTTCCCCCACCACAACACCAGACTGCACCGCTTCCTCTGGCCGCCTGCTAGTCATTGCTTTTGCTGTTTTCCTCCCTCCAGCACAGGAACCCCCCCGGACGCATCGGCGACGCAGGGGGGCGTCTGCACACATCGCAACTTTTGGAAGCCCTCGTGCCTGGCTGCGGGGAAACCACGCATCGCCCGCCACGCGGCCCCCTGGGCTCCGAGCACCAAAAGCCTCTGCAGAAACAACTCGGGATGGGAACAGCGAGGAGAGGCGCACGGCTCAAGGTTCCCAATGCAACAGCCCCATAAGTGGAGGCAGTGGGGCAGGGCTGCGTGCCGGGAGCAACCCGAGGGCCACGGCAGCCCAGCACCCGCGCAGCGCAGACACCGGCAGCCTCGTCTTAATTTCAGTTGTTAAAAAATATTTATCCGGATACAAAAATAAACCCGCTGCAAATTACAAGTTGTCAGGGTTAAAATCTACTTCTATTTGTGTGGGGGAGGATAGGAGAACAGCATAGACATGAATCATTCTCAGTAATTTGAGTGTTTCCATGACATCAATGGGCACTCGTCCAGGACTCTGTCGAAGTCTGCGAGGTACCAAAGCGGCACAGCAGCCAGCAGGAGATTGACTTTTTTTTTTTTTTTTTTTAGGATTATGCTCCCTGTAAAGATTTCATCTCCAGCATCCACTTTTACCACCAAACAGAGGGCTCTGGAGACCACGAGAGAACGTGTTTCGTTCTGCCCGTGTCAGCCTTTAACTTTATCGCCTCTCCGCCGCCGTTGTTCCCATGCACGGCCAGGAATCTGCCCTCTGCATTAGGAACAAACAGCCAAAATCCACGGAAAAGTCAAGAAACTGTTAAAAGAGATTCACATCCGTAGATTTTCACTATCAACTGTAATTACGAAATTATCATACTTTTTGTAGCGGCGTTACGTTTCATTTGAGGGTGGGGGGCTGCAGGGAGGGGGGGAGGGGGGGAAGAAGAGAAATATCTTTTGTATAAACTGTCCGTTTAAAATTAGCTACAGTCTTGATGTCGATTTTCTGCTTAAAATTCACTGGCACATTTGTTTCAGATAATAAAATTTGCAAGAGTGCTGATAATATGCAAGAGTGGGCTCCGCACGCAACTATTTGTGCTGGCAGATACAAAAGCCTCTCCCGAATTTCTGCGCTTCCTGCGCGTTCTGCGCCATCCTCAGCCCCTCGGAGCCGCGCCGCGCGTTTCCCGGGGTCTGCAAGGGCTCGGGGTTCTCTCTCCCCCTTTTTTTTTTGACGTTTTAAAAAGGAGAGAGCGTCCACAGCCATGCAGACACCCGACGCATTCACTGCGGAATTTTCGAGACAACCCTCTAGTACTAGAATGCGGCAGCCGCTGCGGATATTTTTTGGCACAAAGACAATGGTGGCAGTGCCAAGCCCCATGGCTAAAACTACTCAAAGGAGGCATAAGGGTAGCATTAATCGTTCGAGTCTTTTACCGCATGGAGCACCGCCGTCCATATTTTACAACCCGAAAGTACCCGTTTGTGGTGTTTGTTGAGAGCCAGGGAAAGGGAGGAGGCGGAGGGGGGGGAGGGAGGGAGAGGGGAAAAAAAAAAATAGGAAAAAAATTAGAGAAATAAGAAGGGGAGTCTGAAATGCACGCGACAAATCTGGCCAGATTTCCCGTTAATTCTCTCCACCTTCAGCACCCAGCGCCGAACACCGCGCCGCCCGCCAGCAGCGCTCGGCAGCAAAGCGCCCATCCTTACGTGGTCGGGTCAGCAGGACGTGGAGCGCGGCCACGGCAGGAGCTGACCTACAAAGGCGGTCGGCAACTTTGGGGAGCTGTTATTCTTTGGGTAAAGCAGGAGAAGAGCCTTCGCCATGGCCGGAGGTGGCACCTCGGCGCGTGCGGCCGCGTATCTATATGTTGCATTAATTGGCACAATGCGTGCCAATCAACGGAGAGACAAAGGAAGAACTCCAGGCAGCTCCTGCCTTCTGACAAACGCTGCGTCTCAAGGCTGTGCTCTGCGAGTACTTCAGAAAACGACAACGCTTATCTGCCCGGAACTAAAACCATGCCTCCGCAAATACTGCGCCCGCATTTTTGTCGAACCGCAAAATAAAATAAAATTAAAAAAAAAAAAAATAATAAAAATGAAAGCGTCCTAGGATTGCCAATCCATCAATAGCGAAGCCACTCGCCTTTCCACGGTGCACTTTGAAAGATTAATCGAATTAAGTAGAAAATTTAAGCAACTTCCAAAGCACAAGCGCAGCCATCGCCTCCCCCTCGGCTCCCAGCGATGGGCAGCAGCGGGGGCAGGACGGGCTCCTTCCACCTGCGGAGGAAGGGGAAGTGAGGCTGCTTCTATAAACGCCTTCCATTCGGTCTTTTCATTTCATTTTGGTGTATTTTTTTTTTTTTTCCCTTCGGTGTTCGAACCAGAATATTGCAACCCAGGTTTTCCGACGCCCCTACGCTTGGGGTTTAAGCTCCTGGTTAGACCAAAGATGGGAAACCTACCTGAAAAAAAAAAAAAACAACGAAATTTTAAGAAAATGCAGCACATGTTCGAAGTTGAGCATCGGTTCTGCCCAGGCCTGCAGTTTTCCTCACCTTCCTTCTCGCGACTGCTTTTCTAGGATTCGTCCCTTCCTGCAGCGCAGGTCCCAGGTGCTCCCCAATGGAGACCAACCATCCCCGAGCAGCTGCGCGGGGCTCGGCGCCACGGCAGCCAAGCACCAACTGCTCTCTTACAAAGGCAGTTTCACGAGTTTTGGACACGTTTGTTCTTTCCAAGGAAAAAAATGAGCAAGTTTAAAAGGTAGATGCATTTTTTGGGGGGGAGCACGAGTGGCAGGAGAGCCAGGCGCCATCCCCGCTCGGCGCTCAGGCGGCACAGCTCCGCCGTGACCTCGGCTATGTACACATATTTCTCCAACAGTACCGTGCTTCCTGCCATGGGATATACAGTCAAAATATCCCATTTATTGCCGAGAGGTCCTGAACAGCGTGTTTTACATCACAAAGAATCTCGCCCGATGGTGATGGAAGTGTCATGGTAATGAGCTTTGTGCCGTATGTGAAGTACAGACAATACGAAACGAATCTAATAGATTTTAAAGCAAAGTTTGTGCAGGAACGTGCGCAGTACAGCAGGAACGGCGCAGCATCTGATCTGAAGAAAACCGCCAACCAGACACAAAGCCAAGGGAAGGTTATCGATCCCAAGGATTCCAACGGCACCTGCCCCAAAATGCAGCACGGCGCCGGGAAGAAGAGACCTTTGTGACATGGAAGAGGATTTTCCCGCTTACGTGGATGCGCAGCACCCAGGAACGGTTCATAAAGAGGCGCTACGATGCCAGAGCGTGTGCCATCACAAGGGCAGAATTTTTTTGTTTTTATTTAACATCAAAACGCAAAGGAGGATTAAACCCTAAAATCTGCACTGAAATAAAGTCACAGCTCTGAGCTGAACGAACCGAGGGCAGAAGCGGTCCGTCACCACCGCTCCCCCCACTGCTGCCTGTGCTGAAAGGCAGGCTGTGCTCCCCAGCAGCCCTATGGCCACCGGGCACTGACACAGGCTGGCTGCGCCTTCGAGCCGCTCGCTGCCATTCTAACACTGATATTGATTATCAGCATCAGTGCAAGGCTCACACGGAGCTCTGACCCCACAGCCCCTCCGCCCACAGCCCGCGCTCCCCTCCGGGCTTCATTCCTTTACAAAAAAAATGCTTTTCTGCCATCAATCTCGGTTCATGAAATATTGGACCCGTACCAAAAGACTGAGGCAAATTGCTTGGCCTATTTCTGTAATCCACCGAATACCAGCATCTATTACAGGGCAGTACGTGACTTCTTGGTCCGCGTGCTTTCAGAACAGAATAGCTGTGGCGAAATGGCATTTGAAACAACAGGAGTGTGAAGACAGAATACTGAAGACCAGATTCTACACCAGCTACACCTGAAATGGCCCCCGGCCCTCTTCATTCCTTCCAAAAGCAATTAGACTACAAAGATCATCACACTATCCTACACAAGCAGGGTTTGGCACTCACGTTCACTTATTTGCCTTCCCGATGCAGGAGCACTGCAGGACTGACCATGACCCAACCCAATGAGAACAAGCACGCTGCACTCCCTGCAACAGGCTTTGGGCGCCTTGAA